CTGCTTAATACAAGATACACGTTTGAGTTCTGGACAGTTCTACCCTACTCACCAAAAGTTAACTAGTCACTTGACTAAATCATGCCAAGTTAATTGAATTTAAATCAGTTAAACGAGATTGTTATTTTAAAAATAATTGCTTCTTTGCTTCACCTTAAAGGAAAGTGAAATGTCAACACTAACTGTTGCATTACCTGTAGTTTACAGCTCTCCAAATATGATGTCCGACTGAAAAAAATGATCAGAATTAGTGACACTGGCTGTTCTGATACAAAAATTGAGTTAACACTCTTGTGGAAATTTCCCTTTGTCGTAGGTTTATATATTATGAAACCTTTTCAGAATACAATGTAGGCATCAATAAGAAGCTGACAGAGACATAAATCACTCTCCTCCATGGAAACTTATTCTACAAATTTACCCCTTTAGTGACAACCCTTAATGATCCCTTTAATGGCCACCATTGTGTCTGGTCTTTCTCAGCACAACGAGACAGGTGCTAGCTTTCTTAAGGGTAGCACAATTTTTCACTTGCAATAGCCCTGTTGCCCATTTCAAGTTCTTGTGTGCCATCTTTTGAAGGTAAGTTGAAAGCAACTTTGTTCAAAGTCTGTAAAGAAGAAAGGACTGAACAAGGAGGAACGAGGTCAGATCAAGGGAGGTCATATGTGCGCATCTGACACACGGGCTCTCACTTGAACATCTCTACTGTATATTGACCGAATGTTACAAATAAATAACATCCCCATAAATAAAGCAACCTCTGCGGGATGCATAAGCACAATCATAGTGTGATTTCCAAATACTGAAAACAGGTAGGCAGAGTGTTAGAAATCCTGAGGTGCGGTTGCTAAAATCACATTCAGGCGTGGTAGATGACCAAATAATTGAATTGAAACAATCTTTAAACTCACTATGGGTATGAACACTCAGGCATTTGTCAAGAAGACCAAGTACAAAGTCTTTCCCAAATGTCCCTGGATCATTTGACACTTGCACTAACAAACATGTATTATAACATTACAGCACTCTGAGTAAGTGAGTTGTTGAAACTGGAACATGATCAGTCAATTACGTGCAGTTTTAGAAGTACAGCATTCCATTTTAAATGCTTTTGTTATAAATTGAATATAACTTGATCACAAATGACTTCTAATCACATTAGAAAATACAAAAACATGAACTAGGTGCAGGAGTGGGACAAATCAGCCCCTTGATCACAGCTGGTCTGACTGTAATCCACATTCCAGCCTACCCATGATAACTTTCTAACTCCTTGCTTAACAGGAGCCTACTCCCCTCTGCCTTAAAAATATTTCAAGGGCTACGCTTCCTTTTCAGGAAAGAGGTTCCAAAGCCTTTCAATCCTCCAAGAGAAAAAATTTTTGCTGCATTTCTGCATTAAATGAACAACCCCTAATTTTTAAACAGTAATCCCTTGTTCTAGATTCTCCCACAACAGTAAACATCCTCTCCACATTTACCCTGTCAAGACCCCTCAATCAGATCACCTTAATCTTCTAAAGTACAGCAGATACTAGCCTAGCCTGTCCAAAATTTCCACATGAAATAGCCTCCTCATTCCAAGTATTACTCTAGTACATCTTCTCTGAACTACCTGTAACATATTTACATGTTTCTTCAAATTAGATGACCAAAATAATGCACAGTATTCCAGATACAGTCTCACCAGTGCCCTGTATAAATGAAGGATAACATCCCTACTTTTGTATTCAATTCCCCTTGCAATAAATGGCAGCATCTATTAGCTTTCCAAATTACTTGCTGTGCTTGCATTCTAACACTTTATGATTGGACAACTATACCTGCTGTCCCTTCATCTAAATTTTCTTTTATTTAACCTATTCTTCTAAGCAACTTGTTCTGAGACGTTAGTACACATTTCTGGAGCAGGTGGGACTTGAATCTAGACCTCCTGGTCCAGGAGTAAAGCCACTACCACTGTGCCACAAGAAGGCCCATCCCTTCATCTAAATCATTGTAAATTGTAATCCGGTACAGTCCCAGCACAGATCCCTGTGGCACTTCACTCATTTCATCTTACCAACCTGATAGAGACTCACTGATGCCTATTCTCTGCTTCCTACTAGCTAGGAATTATATTTCTATCTAACTTTCTCTTGAATACTCATTTATCCCCCATTATTAATTTTTTGGTCATTCTTTTCTGTATTTATATTCTGTCCTGTCTTCTGACCTGCCACCTGTTTTCACATAATTTAGACTTTTTCTTTTAGTTAGATACTACTTTTAACATTCCTGGTTAGCCATTGATAAGGAGTCTGGCCCTTGGGATTTTTCTTACTCGTTGGAATATGTCTATTCCGTGCATACTGAAATATCCCCTTAAAGGTCTGCTACTGCAGATTGAAATACCTATTCTTTAACTTAATTTGCTAATTCACTTTAGCCAGGTCTGCTTTCAGGCCTTCACAATTCCCCTTATTTCAATTTTTTTTAAAAGTAGACTCAGACCCATTTCTCTCTCTCTCAAACAGAATGTAAAATTCTATCAAATTAGGGTCGCAACTGCCATGGGTGCTTTCACCATGGGATAATTAATTAGTTCTGTCTCATTATACAGGTCTAGAGTAGTCTGTTCTCTGGTTGGTTTCAGAATATGCTGTTCTAAGAAATTATCCAGAAAAATCCTATGAACTCTTCATCTAAGCTACCTTTGCCTAACTTTTATAGTTTAGGCAAAGTAAAATCTCCCATGATTTTCGTGTGCCTTTCTGGCAAGCTTTCGTTATTTCTTTCTTTATGATTACTGTAACGAGGCCTGTACACCTCTCTTACAAGTGACTCTTGTTCTTAACATTTCACATTTCTAACCAAACTGTTCCCACATTTTGGTTTCCTGAACTAAGTCATTTCTCTCTATATTAATAGAGAGAACCACTGGCAGAACCACTTTTTCCTCGTTTCCTGTCGTTCCTAAATGTCCTACACCCTTCAAGATTCAGGTCCTAAACCACATCATCCTGCAGCCATGTCTCTGTAATGGCTACCAGATCGTACTTATTCATTTCTATTTGTACACCTTGTTCATCTGTTTTGTTTTGAAATGCCACGTGAGTACAGATACGGAGCCCTTAGATTTTCCTCTTGCTCTCTTTGTTAATTCTTATCTGATGGTTGCCTCTTTGATTCATATTTTCTGTCATGGTCTGTACGGATCGCACACTTCCCAGTACTGGTGAGAGTGCCCAATGAATCAGAAACCACTTCTTCCACACCAATCTTTGAGTCGTGCATACATGTCTCTAATCTCATTTGCCCTATGCCAATTTATAAGTGTCTTGGGTATTAACACAAAGATTATGCCTTTAAGATTATGCTGCTTAATTTAATACCTAGCTCCCCATCTGGACTATGCAGAACTTCTTTTGTTGGTACCTATATGGACCACAATGGCAGGATCCTACCCCTCCTACTGCAAGTTCCTGTCCACACTTAAGAATATGTCCTGAACCCTGGCACTAGACTCCATTCTAAAGAAGGGTCACTGAACCCGAAATGTTAACTCTGATTTCTCTCCACAGATGCTGCCAGACCTGCTGAGTTTTTCCAGCAAATTGTTTTTGATTTTGTTTCCGATTTCCAGCATCCACAGTTCTTTCGGTTTTTCATCTCGACTCACGTTCCTTACTGCAAGAACAATGTCAATACCCCTCACAATACTGTCCCCTACTGTCACTACGTTCCTTCTTACTCCCTCCTCGAGAGGTTCACTGTACCACAGTCCCATGGATAGTTAGCTCATCCCCTTTGCAGTCCCCACTGTCATTCAGACAAGCTGAAAGAACATCAAACCTGTGGGACAATTTGAAAGACTGAGGCTCCTGTCCTCTGCATTCCTTTAATTGCCTCACACCCTCCTGTCCCAAATCAGAGGATCCATTCCCTAATTGTGTGACTGCCAACGCTTCAAGAATACAGGTAACTCCTCCCCCTCCCTGAAGTGTCATAGTGTCTGTAGTTCAGCCTTGAGCTCACAAGATGTGAGCTGAATCTGTTCAACCTTTAATCACTTGCTGCAGATTTGCTTGCTCGTCGATTTGATTTATTTATTGTCACATGTATTTTATTACAAAATACACTGAAAAGTGTTGTATACTCTACTCTACTCTGGACCAAACTGGAACTCCAACATGCTGTAATTAAGACACAACTCGTGCTAACCTTAATGTGTTTTAATATTTGATTATTTTATATTTGATATTTAGCTATGTTTTTAAGATTTTATTAACCTAACCACCAGTTATTATACAAATGTTGAAACTTAAAACATTGCATCGAGTCATAGTTATACAACATAGAAACAGACCCTTCGATCCAACTGGTCTGCACCAACTGGATATCCTAAAACGATCTAGTCCCAACTGCCATAGCTTTTCTAAGGCTGGAATACTAAACTCTGTATTTGGCAAGTACTTATTTCATTGGAAGGAACATAGCTAAACATCAAATATAAAATAATCAAATATTAAAACACATTAAGGTTGGCACGTGTTGTGTCTTAATTACAGCATGTGAGTTCCAGTTTGGTTCAGAGTAGAGTATACAACACTTGATCCATGCATGTCTCAATACCCAGTGTTAGCATTATTCATATCACAGACGACTGGAGAAATACTTCAACACAGAAAAAGATTTGACTTTTTGTTTTCAAAGAATCACTTTAACTCAAATAAAGTTACTGTGTGAAAACAAACAACTTATATAGTGCCCTTGACATAATAAAATACCCAAATGATGGAGTCATTTGAAGTTGGAGCTTAAGATTACGTTCACCAGTTTAAGATAGCCTCTACTTCTCAACTTACTTGCTTCAAAGATTTTGTTTTTCAATATGAAACATTTTATAAGTAAAGTTTTTAAATCTTTATAATTTAATAGGCACTTTCACTGAAAGCACAAAAAACTTTTAAAAACATCCGTCAATGGTAATTTAAATTAGTCTTTTTCAGCCTTACCCTTTGGAAGAGTTGTTGGCCTAGATACGTTGAAGCTGCTTTTGTGACGTTCTTGTTGCCCCCAAGCTTGCAGCGGATATATCCATATAGATTAGCAGCTTGTAAGGAAAGTCCTGCTATCACCAAGGCCTTCAAGGTAGAAGCACATTAATTAATGGAAGATACAGAAGTCAAATGAAATAGCAACATATTAAATGTTAAATAAGATTAAATGGACACAATAGCTCATTCTCTTTTCATTAATTAAAGTCAATGTAATTTCTTCCTCTGAATATGTGAAGATCATATGCAACCACACAGTTAAGCAGAGTCTCTGCTAAGCGAATGTATTTGAGTGGCTTAGAGATCAGTCAAGTACTCATAAAGAGGCTTCCTGGAAGCTGTTTCAATAAAAATAAATGGCCAGACATCTGAGTTGTCCTGTGCTCATTTTGAAAGTTGCTCAATATTTTTAGCTTTCTAAAATCCATGAATGCCAGTGCAAAATGTTTGGCATAAATACACTTTTCTGAATGAGATAATTACTTTGAGGCCCAGGAGGATATGCCTCAAGTATAGCCTGAATGATGATTACAAGGAGATAGAAGGTCAGACTAATGTGATGAACAGTAAATGATGCAAATAAAGCTTAAAAGATGAACACAACAATTTCACAATTTTGCACCAGCTGTGGTCATTTTTTTTTGTAGAAAAATGGATAGACTAGTGCCAAGGGATTCCGTAATTTCTGGAATCTGTACAATTTTTTTATTCATTGATGGTATATGGGCATTGCTCAGAAGACTAGTATTTACTGTCAATTCCTAATTGCCCAAGTGGCCTGCTCGGCTACTTCACGAAGGAGTTAAGAATCAACCATATTGCTGGAGTCATATGTAGGCCATAGGAACAAGAACATAGGCCATTCAATTCATTGAGCCTGCTCCACCTCTAATACAAACATGGCTGAACCAATATCTTTTATCCACATTATCCCAATAATCTTTTATACCATTGATAGATTTTTCATTGCCAATCTCTACCTTAAACATATTCAAAGGCTTAGCTTCCATGGCCCTCTATGGTAGAGAATTCCAAAGATTCACGACCCTCTGAGTTAAAAAATTTCTCGTCTTATTCATAAGTGTCATCTGCTCCTTATTTTTAAACTGTGCCCCCCGTTCAAAAACTCCCAAACCAGGGAAACATTTTTACTTTCTCTATTTATCCCTTTAAGTATTCTGGGGTTTCAATAAAATCACCTTTCATTCTTCAAAACTCTAGAGAATTCAGGCCCAGTCAACCCAATCTCTCTTCAAAGGACAATCCAGCCATCCCAGGAACAAGTCTTGTGAAGACTCATTGCATTCTCTCTCAGGTAATAATATCTTTCCTGAGATAAGGAGGGCAAAATTGCACACAATACTCCAGGTATAACTACGTCTATACAATTGAAGTAAGTCTTCATAACTTCTGTACTCAAATCCTCTTGCAATAAAGGCTCTCATTCCATTAGCCTTCCTAATAGCTTGCTGCACCTACGTGTTAGTCTTCAGTGAATTACTAACAAGGGCTGCTAGATCTTTTGTATATCTACACGTTCCCAGGTCTTGCTATTTAAGAAACACCCTACACATCTTTTCCTCCTACTGAAGTGAATAGCCTCATGTTTCTCCAAAACTACTTCGCATCTTCCATTTTCTTGCCCACTCACTAAGACTGTCCAAATCCTCCTGAGACCACTTAACATTCTCCTCACAGCACACATGCCCACTTAGTTTAGCATCATCCACAAATTCAGAAATATTAGATTTGGTCCCCACATGTAAACTAGTATGCTATATTGTGAACATTTGGGGCCTAACTACCGATTCTTGCAGTACCTCACTAGTTGTAGCCTGCTAACATGAGCATGACTTGTTTTCAGCCTATTAGCCAATCCTTAATCCATGCCAGTACATTACCACCCATCTCATTTTGTTAACCAAACTACTGTAAGGGACTTTATCAAAAGCCTTCTGAAAATCCAGTATACAAGTCAACAACTCCTCTTTATCAATTTTGTCAGTAACATCCTCAAAAACGCCAACGTTTGTCAAACACAATTTCCCATTTGCAAATCCATGCTTACTACACTCAAACAGATCATTATTATCTAAGTGACCATTTATCACATCCTTATAACAAACTGTATCATTTTCCCTTCTCCTGACATAAGGCTAACAGGTCTACAGTTCCTCACGTTCTCTCTCTCTCTTAAATACTGGGGTGACATTTTTCAGCTTCCAATCTGGAGGAATCATTCCAGAATCTGTAGAATTTTGAAAGATCAACACCAAGCTATCAATAAACAGCTATGTCCTTCAATATTCTGGGATGTAGACCATCAGATCCCAGGGTTTTATCAACTTTAAACCCATTATGTACAACTTCTTGCAAGTGTTAATTTTCTTCAACTTCTCACTCTCCATTGTCACTTGCATAGCTAATTCTGGGAGATTTCGCATTATCCTCATCAGTGAAAACAAACACAAATTAATCAATTTGCTTCTCTGCCATTTCTCTAATCCCTACTATAAAATCTTGTTACTCCATCTGTAGTGGACCCGTAATCATCTTAGCCAAACATTTCTTTTTTATATCCCCGTAGAAGCTTCTACAGTCTGCTTTTATGCTTTTTGCCAAACTGCATTCATAATCAATTTTCCTTTTCCTTATCAATTTTTAACCTATTGTATAAAGCTCCTAATCCTTAGATTTACTACTATTTCTGGCAACTCCATACGTCAGTTTTACTTATACAATCCTTAACTTCCTTTGTCAGCCATGGTTGTCTTACCCAGTGAGTTTTTGCACTTTGAAAGAGACCATTGTTACTGTAAGTCATGTAATAAATCTTTAAAGAACTACCTATGTACTGTCATGCCTTTTAAAGTATTTTCCCAATTCATCTCAGGCAGATTGTCCCTCATTCCTTCATATTTTTCCTCATTCAAAAGTTAACATTCTTGTTTCAGAATGAACTACCTCACTTTCAAAATGAATGTAAAATTCTATCATATCATGGCCATTCATTCTGAAAAATGCTTTTCCAACCAGATTGTTAATTGGTATTTTTTCATTATATAATATCAGATCCCAAATAGCTGTCCTCTGGTCAATTCCTCAACAGCCTGCTCGAGAAAACCATCCCTAACACAGTCCAGAAACTTGTCCTCCACAGTTTTATTGCTCGTTTGGTCTATTTGCAGATTGAAGTCACCCATGACTACTATGTTCCCAATGCCACATACTTCTCTCTTCTCCTGATTAATACCATCCCCCACAATTCCACTACTATTTACTGGCCTACAATTAACTCCAAGCAGTATCTGCTTGCACCTTGCTGTTTCTTATTTCTACCCAAACAGGATTGCTTCATAAATATTAAATTCCTTTGAATATTCAGTTCCTAGACCTGGACACCATGCAGCCATGTTTCTATAATAGCAATTAGATCACATCCATTTACCCCTATTTGAGCCTCTAGACCTTGTTACAAATGTTGTGTGCATTCATACAAAACGCCCTTAACTTTGTCTTTTTGATTTCATTCCACTTTCGAAGCATACTTGCTGCTTGGTTTTGTTTCTCCCATCTTCTCTCGCAAGCAGCTTTTATACTTCGTGTTACCAACTTTATTTCCTCCGAGTTATCCCTCAGGCTCCCATCCCTCTGACAAGCTAGTTTAAACCCATCCCAACAGCATGAGCAAATTTCCTTGCAAGGATATCTGTCCCAGTCCTGTTACAATGTACAAGCCCCACTTGTCACAAAACCAGTCCCAATACCACAGAAATCTGATGCCCTCCCTCTCCAGCAGGTCTCCAGCCATGTGTTCAAGCAACCAAGCCTCCTGCTCTTATGCAAATTAGCATGTGGCACTGCAAGAAATCCTGAGATAACTGCTCTTCAGGTCCTGCTTTTAAAATTTTCTTCCTAAATCCCTGAAATCTGCCTTCAGGATCTCATCCCTCTTTCTCCCTATGACATGGTCACAACCTCTGGCTGATTTCCCCTTAGAAGGATATCCCATAGATGCTCCATGACATCTTTGACCCTGGCATCAGGGAAGGCAACACACTATCCTGGAGCTATGTGCCACATAAAACACTTGTATGAGTCCCTGATTATGGAATCCCTTAACACTACAGTCTACTCATTCTTCTTCATGCATCCCTCCCCCAACCTCCCCATATAGTTGAGACATCCATTTCCCTCAGCAGTCCCTAAACTGGAATAACCAATTAGCAAGCAGTACAGATTCAGGAGACATCTGCACTACCTGCCTGTTTCTCTTAGACTGCCTGGCAGTCACCCATTCCATCTGTACATCCACACTTCTGAGCTGCAGTGCGACCACCTCTCTATACCCGAGTGCCATATAGTCCTCTGACTTATGGATGTACAACAGAGATTCTAGCCACTGCTCAAGTTTCAAAACCTGAAGTACAAGCTTGTGCAGCCAGTGACATTTCATGCAGATGTATTTGTCTAGGACACAGGGTATGTTCACACATATCTCATATGTACACTCCGCTTGGCCCAGCTGACCTGCCATCCCATAACTCTAAAAACTATTGGCTACTCTTAGTTTAAGTACAAAAAATACTTCACTTACGTCTGCTCTATTTTCATTCAGTCTACTTTATTATTTTGTTTTGACATGATTTAACTTTGGCTCCCCTTCAGTATTGCTCTTTGCTGAAATCCCAAGTAGCTACTTCTTCTTTATAAATTATACATCCTTCTAGCTTTAAGCTATGTAAACTCAATCCCCAACAGCCGTTCTCACCAATTGATACACCTACATTTTTCCTATGATGTCACTCTTGGATTTTAGTTCACAATCAGTCCGGCTGCCGAGTTGCCCCCAAGTAGAGGAGACCCCACAGATCCAGCTGTCTCCACTCCAGGAATGTGAACAACTAAATCTGAAAAACAGATTTCCTTCCCTAAAGAATATCAATGAACTTGGTGTCTTTTTTAAGACTACCCAGTATTTTCATTGTCACCATTATTAGATAATTATATTTGAAATTCTAATTAAATTTAAATCTGATAATATGCCGCATAAAAGATCTTGCATTCGGCAAGAGCCCATAGTTTTCGGATGATATATTAGCAGATGGAGTGTAATGTGGGAAAATGTAATGATTTTCTCTTCGACAGCAAGAATTAAAAAAAAGATTATTTATATGGAGAGAGTCCTCATAGTGCTGCAGTACAAAGGGATCTACGTGTCCTGAATCACAAAAGGTCAGCATAGATAACCAGTAATAAGCAAATAACATGTAATGAGGAATACGGATGGAATTGAGATAACACAGTGTGGAGTTGGAGGAACACAGCAGGCCAGGCAGCATCAGAGGAACAGGAAAGTTGACGTTTCGGGTCAGGATCCTTCTTGAAGAAGGGTCCCGACCCGAAACGTCAACTTTCCTACTCCTCTGAAGCTGCCTGGCCCGCTGCGTTCCTCCAGCTCCACACTGTGTTATCTCTGACTCCAGCATCAGCAGTTCTTGCTATCTCAGAGATGGAATTGAGGCCATTTATTGCAATAAGGAAGTCTTACTTCAAGAATAGACAGCTTTTGGGGAGACTACACCTAAAGTAATATTATGCATTTGGTGTCCTTAATTAAGGAGGGCAATACTTGCTTTTCAATGCAGGGAAGGTTCACCAGGCTGGTTCCTGGGTTAAAGAGGTTATTTTATGAGGAAAGGTTGAGAAGATTGGGCATGTACTCTTTGGAGTTTAGAAAAATGAGAGGTTATCTTATTTATTTGTCTGCCAGATCAAACTAGTAGGTAGGGTCTGTCCAGTAGAGGTCAGAGAAAGTAATTGCGTTCCTAAAAGAATAAGTAAAAGAAACAAATAATTTGGTTCATCTTCCTACAACATTTCTTTTAGAATGTCTTACCAGCCACTTCAGCTTCAAGGAGAACAAAGTACTGAAAAGAAATACGGTCCATATTAGAGGACAGACAATCAGTCCAAGCCAGAAGATCTGAGCTTCTGCTTCAGTCGATGAAGCTCTATTCTTAGGAGTAGTCTGTGAAGAAACAGAAAAGCATAAGTACACTGACCACAGTTTCTCATTCCAAATTTGAAAATGACAGAATGAGTACCTGAGTGAGGGAGAAACAGAGAGAGGGTGGTGGGGGGAAGAGACAGACAGAGAGAGAGAGAGAGAACACATAGGAAAATGGAAAAGAAGAAAGGAGAGCTGAGGAGAGGGAAGAAGAGAAGAGATGGAGAGCGTGGGTTTGAAGAAATCAAGGACAAAGAAGTAAAGAAAGATTGAGCAAGAGAGATGAAGAATGGTAGACAACAGGGTGGGGACTGGTGACATTAACACAATATCCAAGGTGGGGTTGACATGAAAACAGATATCAAGAATGTGGTGACGAGATCAAAAGAAAGGGCAGGGCAGATCGAGGTTGGGTGCTATGACAGATCCCGATGGATACTTGCTAAACCCATTGGGTTTGTTCAGAAAATAATTCAAAGAAAAGACTAGGGATAGTTCTTTTTATTTATACTTCTTTTTTATGAAAGAAAATAAAAGCATTATCATCTGTTTAATAAAATATCAACTTTATTGCTTACATAGAGATCCTTGAATAGAACCTAATTTTCAAATTGGCTAGAGTTAATTACCTGGAATGCCACAGAATAGTTCTTGCAAAGGTAATGGGCTGGAGTTTCACATAATCCTGTAATTCTTTGAACCATTACTTACACAATGGGATTATGTTCAAACTGTATACCTTTTTGGCTTCAAAAAGCCAGTGACTTTTTCCATCTTCATCAATCTGGTTCCACCAACGTAAACCAACCAAGAGCCTTCCAGTTACATTCTGCAAGAACAACACATTATAATTCACAACATTATAATTCATCCCTTTTTTCATTATGATCCCTCAATCTACTATTTGGGGAAGCAGCCAGGAAGGGTTTGTATCAGTTTGAAATAAATGGGTGTTCAGAAATTTTGTTTACTCCCACAAGTAGCTCTGTATCTAGCAGCTGGCAGAGAATCATTAATATAATTCAAGTAACTTGTAGTGCAGTGAATAATTTGACATGTTTTTAGGGGTTTTTTAAGCAAATTTTCTATGAAGATTTACAAAACAGCACCATGAGGTTCCAGGCTTAACTTTATTACGTTGCACAACAGTAATCAAAATATTAACACTTTGATGATAGCAGTGAAACAATTTCATTTTCAAAAATCAAAATTATATTAAATATTCTAAGCAGTAGTTTCCACTAGGTTGTATAATTTATTCAGTACATTTTAGTTTTAAGTTAACCAAGTCCATGCAAAAACAGTACAGAATTATAGATGCAAATTACACACAAATTGAGTTTCTGCAATCTTTTGCACTAGTTTAAAACACATCTGCCAAAAGCCAGCCCTGTCAATTCTAAGATCATAAAAATCACTATTGCAAGTTTCCATTAATTGCATTTGCCTGTCGAACTGCAAGGAGGCTCTTAAAATTAAGCTCTTATTTAGGCTTGAGGGCACCATTAGACATTTCATTCATAGAACATGGCTGGCACTGGCTATTGCTCATTCCTAACTGCACTGTTAAACTGCTTTCTTGAACTGTTAACTAAGGATGAGATAGGCAAAATTTTAATTAGTAATGGGTTGAAGAGTTATAGAAAGTGGGCAGGAGAGTCGAGTTGAGGCCGAGATGACATCAGCCATGGATTGTGTCAAAATGGCGAAGCAGGCTCAGGGGGCTGAATTACCTACTCCTACTCCTAGTTCTTATGTTGTAGTTCATACAGTGTAGGTACACCTACAGTGCTGTTACGAAGGGAGTTCCAGGTTTTTGACACAGCAATACAGTGAAGGAACTGTGACATAGCTCCATGTCAGCATGGTGATTTGCTTGGAGGGGAACTTAGTTAGTGGTGTTCCCAAGAATCTGTTGCTCTCAACTTTCTGTGTGGTCCAAGTCAAGGTGCTGTCAAAGGAGCTTTGGAGAATTACTGCAGTGCATCTTGTAGACAGTTCACATTCCTGCAACAGTGTGTCGATTAACGCAAGGTCAAGGTGGCGGTAATGAATGTCCAATGTCCAAGGATGGGTTGCTAATCAAGCAGGATACTTTGTCCTAGATGGTGTTAAGCTTCAGCCTTTTCAAAGCTGCCCCATCCTGGCCAATTCAAAGTATTCCACCACACTCCTCACACGTGAATTGTAGATGGTGGACAGTCTATGGGGAGTCAGGAGGTGAGTTACTAGTCTCAGAACTCCTGGGCGCTGACCTGTTCTTGTAGCCATTAAGAATTGAGATGAGGAGTAAATTCTTCACTCAAAGTGTGATGCATCTTAGGAGTTCTCAAATCCTAGAGGGCTGCGGAAGCTTCTTCGTTGAGTATATTCAAGACAAAGATCAATAGGTTTCTGGAAACTAATGACATCACAGTATATGGGGATAGCTTGAGAAAATGGCGCTGAGGTAGATGATCAGCCGTGATCTAGAGTGGCAGAGCAGCCCAAAGAGTTAAATGGCCAACTCCTGTTCCGATGAGCCTGTTCCATTATTCAGTGAAATCATGGCTGTGCTATGATTTCAGGTATCCACCTTTGCTACATATCCCTTAATAGTAAGTTTACAAAGAATCAGCCATCTATTTTAAAATTAACCTCCTGTCCTCATGTGTAGAAGTAGTTCCCAATTTCAAAGCTGAATTGTCTGAAATTTAATTTTGAATTTTAATTCTGAGTCTTAAGCTGTCCAGCCAGTAGAAATAGAAACTGTTGATGTTAACTGGTCTCATCAATTTCTTGACAGCTTGGACCAAAATCACCTTTTACCTTTCTTTAGGAGTTGGAAATTCTAGCATGTTCAAAGGCCACGGAAAATTATTCGAATTCAGGATGATTGCACAAAGGATATCTGAATTGAGATTTTTGAGATGGCAATTGATCACGGTGGTTTTAAAAGAAATAGGGATGGCACCAGTGCACTAAAAACATTTAGTGTTTGCAAGTGGGAAGGTCAGAAAAACTAGGTACTCAGTCAAGATTTGAATGGAGGTGTCAAGGGAACATAAGGTTGTGTTACAGAAGAGATACGCTTAGAGAGGTTAGAGTGTGGGCGCAAAACTGAAGGATCATGGCAAGATAAACAGAAGACTTCCTGGACATCATATTTGGGTGTTGCATAAAGACAACAGTTGAGGCAGCTAGACAAACTGGACGGTGACAACCAATTCCACCAAAGTAGATAAATTGGTAATCGTCCTCATTATTATTTGTAGAATCTTACAGTGCACAAAAAGCTTTCCAATGTATCACTGTCTCAGCAGTTCAACTTATCTGAAGCAATTTCATAATTTTGCAGAATTTTGACAAAGTGCAACCTAAGTTTTGTATTTCTTATAGGTGAGGTATAAGAAATTCTAATTCCATAGATTCACCAACATGATAGATTTAAAAGATAGGATAATGGTAAGATTTTGTGAATTTGAAATAATTACCACAAGTTATCACACATATATTTGAATTCCTTTATGTGCCTAGGGGAAAATATATAAATAAAAAAAGTTATCTTTTAAAGAACATGAAATTGCATTTTTCTCCCAATGAATAGTCTTTGAACAAAATTATGGAGAGAATGATTACTTTTGAATTAAATATTTGAAAATATAGATTTTTTGACAAGTTATTAAGACAAGAATTTTTTACTCCATTTGTCTGTTTACTGTATAACTAATAACATGATAAAATTGTTCTTGGGTAATCTATTTTCATAATCAAGGAGTGTTATTTACTGATATAGTAGGAACTGCTGATGCTGGAGAATCTGAGATAACAAGGTGTAAAGCTGGATGAACACAGCAGACCAAGCAGCATCAGAGGAGCAGGAAAGCTGACGTTTCGGGTCTGGACCCTTCTTCAGGTTTTCTGAAGAAGGGCCCAGACGCAAAACGTCAGCTTTCCTGCTCCTCTGATGCTGCTTGGCCTGCTGTGTTCATCCAGCTCTACACAGTGTTATTTACTGCTTAGCCAATAGGTGGTGGGTTTGTCCCACAAAGAAGTACTTTTCAGTTTTGTATTTCTCAAAAACTATCGGCTTATCGAGGAATAAAAAAAACTAGTAACTGGATAAGTACTAGCAAGTCTCTCACCATGACAAAAACAAAGTCAGCACAAACAAGACATTTGAACCCACAGCCACTTTCCAGAACCCGTGGTCAATGTTTTCTTCCGCATGGATAATATTTTGGGTGTGGCTCCTGGCTGCCTAGGAGCAGTTGTCCCTGAAGTTGTGTTGCTACTAATGGAACTTCCTGCCAGAAATTAAGGCAGATGTCGAATATTTCAGCCCATGTATTGACAATGAGAAGCAAATTATGCAGCAACAATGGGGAAAGATCATCTGGGATATTTTCATCTATGTCATAAGCAGCAAAACTAAGGGAAAGTTACAAAGTAAAAGGAAGACCTTGTGTAATATGCTCAATCACAAAGCCAAAATGGCCATATTCCAGTTGAGTAGTTACCATGGTTATATTCCATGTCCCCATTGTCCCAAGTGTAGAGCTTCCAAAAGGCAATGCTGGGAGCTAGTCTTGAATATCTTTAAGTCACAATATTTCTGACAGAGGCCCCATCACAAAGAGAAATTGAATGGGAAAGGGGAAGGAACACCGGGCTTGTAATCAAAACTAGTGATCCAGAACCTCAGAGTAACATTTTGGGGACATGGCAGTTGAATTCAATATAAACTGGATTGAAAGATAGTCTAGTGGTGACTACATAACGATTGTCAACTGTTACAAATGCCCAGAGATAGTACGAACTGCAGATGCTGGAGAATCTGAGATAACAAGGTGTTACAAATGCCCATCTGGTTCACAAGAGAAAACTGCTGGGCTTATCTGCTTTGGCCTATATGTAACTTGAGCAATGTGGTTTACTCTTAATTGCCCTCTGTAATGGCCTAGCAAGCCATTTTGGCTAGTAACAGAGGACTTCTTATTCAAACCAGCTCACCAAAGACTACCACAACCGCAGATCACATTTAACTTAAGCATGTAATCATCAGATCCATGTTTCTTACCTTTACTGACCAGAAGTCAAAAGACAACAGGAGAAGTATCATCACAAAACAGGCAACAAAGCTTCTGCTGAACCAGTCACAGAAGAGGTAAGTAATGATGGCACTTACGCGGAAAAACAAGTGGAAAAACGTTGCTAGTGGATGTCTGAAAAAGGTTCAAGTATTAAAATATTAACAGCAGGGATTCAAAGAATAAACAAATGCATTCAAAACATATTTCAATCTCTGGATATCTATTACCACAGTAATTTAGCATAATAGTGAAGACTATTATTCTAAATTATGTTATATTCTACCTGTTATAACTTGATATAACTTATCAAATTTGTGAAGAATGCCTACGGTGTTAATGATAGAGAGCAGGATTTTTATTTTTGCTGGCACTTTCCAACCTAAGTATTATAAACATGAATGTAAAAAAATGTGCACAATAACTGAACCAAAACAGATAATACTGGTAACGTACAGCTGACCAGTTAGCAGCTGTAGAAAGGAAAGACCAGTTGTTTACAGTTTTGGTGCGTGTCTCATCATCAAAACTGAAGAATGATCAAACAGTTACACAAACAAAATGTTAATAATAATAATGAAAACAGAAGTTCTGCAGCAGGTCTAGTAGCATCTGTCAAGAAAAAAAAGTTAACGTTTCAGGTGATTTTATTTATCAAAACTGTTTCTCTTTAGAATTAGTAATCAAGTGGCTGCAAAATTTCAACATTTCCTACTTTCAATTTGAGTTTTCTCATCTTCGTAGTTTCTTTTAAATCTCGTCACTTGCTAGATTCTGTATCCACAGTGCTTTGAGATTGCTTGGGACTATTTTTGTTAAGGAAATGTGAAGTTGAACTAGGGAACTGAGATGTTTTGTAGCTGTTATAATTTTGATACAGTACAACTGAGCTAAAATCAATTAAATACTGACAGCAACACTCCCTGGTATATTTTGCTGTTACAGTATTTCACCAATAGCAGAAGTCAAACAACTTTGGATAATTTTTCTATAAACATTCTTCATTATCTTTTTGAAGCTAATAAAAACTGCTCACATGAAACAATAATTTGAATGATTATACGGTGGCTAATTTAATAATATTGCACAGCAAATGTAATTATTATACCTCATAAGGTCCCAGATAAATGATGATTATCATGGTAAAACTAATGAAACAGGCTAGTCAGCCAAAATTATTTTGAGCCCCTTAATTACCAAATGTTGTGATTTGTTTGTCAAGCATGTGTTTTGTGACCACAACTGCAAGGTCATAAGCAACACTGGATTCTCTACTATTGATGAGGCAGTGAGAAGTTTAATGTTTGGTAGAGTACTGTGTGAGATAATAATACAAAAACGCTTTTCTCTGCTATTCTATTAGTCAGCAAGTTGACTATTATTCTACAATAGTGAACAAGCAATTTTCCAGAAGCAAGTTTGGTGTGTGTGCTGCAGATAACTTAGGGAGGCCAAGCTGCTGTGACAACATGCACTCTCACAGGTTAGGTGTACTCAGAGAAAATGATGTACCTAAATAGGGAGCCAGATTCCAATTGAAGAGAGGCAACGTGAACTGCTAGAACTGGCTATAAATATTCCAGTGAATACTAGCTTCCCTTTATATGGGGAAGTAACATAACGGAAGTGACTCAAATCAAAAAGAATCACACGGTACCATGTACTGATTTTAAAATTGCCATTGAAAATGGCAATTTTAAAATCAGTACATCCGAAAGGACTGCGAATGCTGTAAATCAGGAACAAAAACAGATGTTGCTGGAAAAGCTCAGCAGGTCTGGCAGCATCTGTGAAGAAAAAAATCAGAGTTAATGTTTCGAGTCTGGTGACCCTTCTTCAGAACCGTTCTGAACCCCAGTTCTGAGGAACGGTCACCGGACCCGGAATGCTAACTCTGATTTTTTTTTCTTCACAGATGCTGCCAGACCTGCTGAGCTTTTACAAAACACTGAAATGATCCCATTTCTTAGAGTGTCTTTACAGTTGCAAAAAAAGAGGCACTTCCCACTTACGCAGGTAACTATTTATGTTCATTTTGAGGGACTGAGAGAGTTTGACAACTGAACAGACCCCCATTAAACTGCGGCAGAAAGACTCTGGATGGCAGTCTTTCCCCCCTGCACCTTGACAGCAGCTGCCCCAAGCTTTAGTGTGTCCCTCAGCACGTAGTCATGGACCTTGGAATGTGCCAGTCTATCACACTTGATCGAGGTCGACTCTTTGCACTGAAAGACCAACATGTTTCAGGCAGACCAAAGAGCATCTTTCACCAAGTTGATGGTACTCCAGGCACAGTCAATGTTGGTCTTGATGTGTGCTTTGGGGAACAGCCCACAGAGCACAGAGTCCTGTGTTACAGAGCTGCTCAGGACAAACCTCAACAATAACCACTTATGACTGATCAGCAGCCTCAGGTGACATCAGAATCATACAAAGCTCTGCTGCTCCACATGATTAAGAAGCCTACCATTTATGTTAATGTTGTCAGGCTTTACTGTGTGCAAATTATTCATTCGCCAACTAAGCAGGAACTATGTTTCAAGAGTAATTCAATAGTTCCAAAGTGTTTTGAGATCCTGTGAGGACAAAAAGGGTGTTACAAACACATACCAGTTTGCGCTTCCTTCTCCACTGGATATTGTTATATGAAGCACGGTCATTGGGAAGTATCAACTACCTCCAGTCAATGCTCAGACTGAGAGGTGGACTGCAATCAACTCTTACTTACTTATTACTTATCGTACTATTTTTCTCAGAGAAGAAAGGGATTTTTCAAAGCAATTCAGAAGCATGTTGCAACATTATGGCTATTTTTGCTCTTATGGCAATGGCTGAAACCTCATTAGGGGATTGCCAGTTTAGCTCAATTATTTGTGTCTACCCTACTCCGTGCTAACCCAGTCTCCCCAACCCCCACTGTAAACCAAAATCAAGGTTATTTCCATAGGGAAAGTTTGAATCCAGGGTTCATTGTTTTCTCTGACGTCTCCGTTCAATATGCTTTATATTTAATTTCAGTGAACTAATGAACACACCAGGAATTTCTAATTACTACTTCTCGTGAGAGGGTTGGAGCTTACAAAACTTACAATAAACCATGAAAGGGAAGGAGGTTGAGATTGTTGGCCACGATACGACACACATTGCTAAATAGCACCAGCTGAGAAAAGATTAAGACACTCACTATTTCTTAGCACTCCTGAGGGATGGATACATTCTTTTGGCTTCACTGAGGTTCTTGCTTAGATTTTCAAATCACCTCAGCACCTCAAGGAATACAAAGACAATACATTGCTCTTCTTGAGCAATAATTGAAGTGTTTCCTTGATGATTCGGTTGGTTATTAACTGATTCATAAAGGAAAGAACCCATACTTGACACCTGATCCCATAAGCTTCAATCAGGTTCAGTGCTTCCTGGACTACAGAGGGAAATACAGGGAGGCTCCTGATATTATTTTTATCCACTTGTAAGGACCTCAGTCAAGAAGGAAATTGGATTTCAAATAAAGTGCAGCATTCTGATTCAATGCATAGGTGTTTTAAGTTGTGTAACATCAGTGACTCAGTCTCAAACATGTTTACAGCGAGAATCTTAGATTGGTCAAAAAAAAAAAAATCAAAGAACTACAGATGCTGGAAATCAGAAACGAAAACCTAAATTGCTGGAAAAGCACAGCAGGTCTGTTAGTATCTGTGGAGAGTAAGCAGAGTTAACACTTTGAGTCCAGTGACCCTTCTTCAGAACTGATTTTAACTAGGAAAACATATATATCCAGAAGGTGGGGTGGGAGACGGGTGAAAGAGGTAAATGATAGATGGAGATGGAGATGGAGCCCAGGCAGAGAAAAAAATCAGTTGTGCAGACAAAGCAAAGGGTTTTACCCTGGTCAGCCTGGGAGAATCAATAGCTGCAAATGGGCACTGTTAGTGGCTGACAATGGGTTGTTTGTGGTAGCAGCCCATGCGATGACAAAGTCTGGTGTTTGGGGGGTGGGGTAAAGAAATGGGAGAAGGTGCTTAGGACCTAAAATTTATTGAACTCAATATTGAGTGCTGAAAACTACAGTGTCCCCAAGCGGAAAATGAGATGCTGTTCTTCCAGCTTGTGCTGAGCTTCGCCGGAGCACTGCAGAAAGCCCAAGAAAGAGATGTTGACCAGAGAACATGATGGTTTGTTGAAGTCGCAGGCAACAGGCACTCGGTCATTTTTGTGCACATAGGTGCACAAGAACATAGGCGTTCTGCAAAGCAGTCGCCCAGTGTGCAAATCATCTCCCCAAAACACAGCAGACCACATTGTGAGCAGCAAATATAGTAAATTAGATTGAGCGAAGTGTAGGTACTTCACTGATTCATCTGGAGGGTGTGTCTGAGGCTTTGGATAGTGAGGATGAAGTAAATGGGCAGGCGTTAACACCTTCTGCAATCACATGGGAAGGTGCCGTGGCATTTGGGGAGATTCTGGGAGTGGAGGAAGAGTGGACCAATGTGTCTTGGAGGGAATGGTCCCTGCAGGAGGGAGGGGAAAGTGTATCTGGTAGCATCCTGCTGGAGGTGGCAGAAATGGTAGCTAATGATCCTTTGGATGTGGATGCTGGTGGGATGATAAGTGAAGACCAAGAGACCCTGTCACTGCTGTGGAAGGGAAGAGATGGGGTTAGGACCAAAATGCCGTGGATGGTTCAGACATGGCTGAGGGCCCTGTCAACCACAGAATCCTCAATTGAGGAGCAGGGTGGACATTTCGAAGGCCCCCTTGTAGAACCTGACATTATCTGAACTCTTACGGGCCTTGCAGCCTTCAGGATTCAATATCAAGTTCAATAATTTTAGGGTCTGAGCACCTTCTCCTATGCCCTTACCCGAACCCCTACACACTCAACCTGGGCTGCTACCACTAATAACCCATTGTCAGCCACTAATGGTGACCGTTAGGAGCTATTGATTCTCCAAGCTGATCCCTACCTTTTCCTTTGTCTGCCCAACTGTTTTTCTCTCTCTCTGGGCTCCATCTCCACCTACCATCTACTCCCCCCAACTGCACCTTCAGCATATATTCCAATTTTCCCTAGGTAAAATCAATTCTGAGGAAGGATCACTGAAGCCAAAACATTAACTCCGCTTTTTCTCCAC